TAAATATCTATCAACATTTTGTACCGAACTTTGTATAGAGAACAGATAGACTGAGCTATTTATTAGTTTTAAATTCACCAATATACAATTTATAGTTATTGAAATCACTCAAATTTCAATTTTGATATATTTCACCGGATCGCCGGTAACTAATGATCAACTTTGTGGTGCCCTCGATAACAATCTACAAAAATTCTCTGCGGTATGTTTCTAGCTCATACCTGGTAAAAATATTTAAAAAATTTTTTGTACACTATAGATGATTGCGTATCTACAGAAATTATTTTTGAATGTAGGTGCATGTGTGTCATTTTTACGGTGTCAATAAATAACTGATTGTTTAAATAGAACATCCTGAATATTTTTACTTGTTTCGATGTCATTTGTTAACCTCTCCATGGAAACCTATTCACTTTTTGGTTTTTTTTATCAACATAGATATCTTAATTTTCCTTAAAATTCCCCATAAGCAAGTCACACTTTGATGAATCTTAGCTACCTTGATCTTGAAGTTAAGAAATACATTTGATCAGGTGCCACATAGTTTTTAGGTTATTCAATATTTTTTTACAAAAGTACTTGGCCATTAATTAATTACATATTTATACACCGAAGTAGGCTGCCATAATAAAAATCGAGAATTCCATAGAGTAATAACAAGTGTCACAAATTAATTATTTTCTGCAAAGTGTGTTTCCTATTTTGTAATAAAATAAGATTAATTAAGGCGAATTTCGAAAAAGATGAACTAATTTTTTTAGATAACCTTATTTTACTACGAAAAAAGAAGGACACTTGCACCAAATATTTAATTTGTGACACTTATTACTTTTTGGCATTCTTTTGTTTTTTCTTATCACAGCCTACTCAGGTGCAGTATAAACATATAGGTAATTAATTAAAGTGAAAAATATTGAATACCCTAAAAACTACGGCTTTTAAGCACAGGACTCCTTATAACTTTCTCATTATCAAAGTGTTGCCCTTTACCTATTCGGATATTGATCAAATGTATTTCTTCACGTCAAATTCAAGGTGGCTACGATTAATCAAATGAGGCTTGCTTAAAAATTAATAAGATGGCAACGTTGACAAGCAACCAAAAAGTGTATGTAGAAGACATTAATGATATGGAAACAAGTAACATACAGGCTGTTCTATTTAAAAAAATCAGTTATTTATTGACACCGTAAAAATGGGACACCCTGTACATTTAAAAATAGTTTCTGTGGATGCTCATTGCGCAACCATTTATAGTTGACACTTGCACAAAAGTTTTTTATATTTTTTACCAGGTATGAGCTAGGAAGGACCGAATCACTGTTGTGGGACCTTGTATGAAGAGAAGATAAGTATGTGAAGCCTGATCAATACTGGGATTTACTAACCGAAGGTTTTGCTCCAATTATAGGCAACACATTATACAAGGACGCTATTAATATCTTCGAAGTATTAATAGCATTTGTTATATATCATATAATTTTGAAACGGGAATGTTAATCGGTTGAAGGAGAACTGTGGCAAAAGTCATACTTCTAGGGTTCGATGTAATCAGGATGTCCGGGCTTCTATCTTCTTATACCATTGTTCTATATTCTATAGCATAATGGTTAAAGCATTGAATTTATAAGTTATAAATTCAATGGTTAAAGATTCGTAATTGCTTAAGGTTGTTTTGTTACCCAATAAATGAAGTTATACATCACTGGATGGCAGCACGTGTACAAGTATTTACGTAGCCAGTTTTACACAGCACAATTTGTAATCTCACGTCCGCCTTACGCAGCACAACTTTTAAAGTATACTACTCTATGACAAGATATAGTACATATCGTCAGTAAACTATAGTCCATATGCGCAGCAATGTAACATAAATTATTAAATCGTAAATGAAACGTCATTTATAACGCGACCAATAGTTGTATTTAATAATATGCACCTGAAATGCAATGTAAAAATCCGTTCCCTACGAGTGAAAGTTTCTCAAAACCAGCCGTACGGAGTCAGCGGTTCTCAATACAACATCCGTTGCGCTATAAATGACATTTGATTTAAGACTTATAATATATATTGGTCAGCATATGGTGTAGGTACCTTTCTCAATATTTATACCTGAGAAGCATAAATAATAAAAAATACACGTTTTGAAGCACCACGAAGCCAAATCGAACAAAATCTGGATTATCTCTATCTGTCTATCTGTCGGTATTCTCATTTTCAGGTAAACGACTGAACCGATTGGAACCAAATTTGGTACATACATATATGTTTAGACATACATAAAAGAAAGAGCAGAAAGCTTTTGGGTAGAATCACGCATGTGCAGATATGCCGGTAGTATAGGTAAATGCTGCGATAAATTTGCCTTTACTAGAAGCACATATGGTTAAAATTTCAAAAAAATAGCCGATTAAGAAAGATGATATCGCTCAGCTTCCGCATGACACATTTATTTTTTACTATGTGCCTTGTTTTTCTTTACTAATTTCAAAGAAATGACTATAAAGTTGGCACATTGCGCAGTATGCGTATGCGCGCATCTGATATTTACCATATATGCGATATGTCGCCAAGCGGAAAACATATTCTTGGTAACGATTCTACTAGTTGTGTGTCCATTGGTAATATCTTAATAAATCAACAGTTGTCTTCTGTACGCGCAGACCATGCGCATATTATGTTTTAAATGTAGGTACCAGGTTAGTAGGTATTGTTTCTAACAAGAAAAGAGATATAAAGGATGATGAATAATAATACCTACATAACTGGTTTTAACTTTACCAGCCGCTGGTCAGGCGCAGGAGCAAGCAATTGGTGTAAATTTTCTTGGTTCTTGGTTGTTATTATACCCTAAGCTACCGAATGCAAACAGAACGAACTAAATATCTTGAAAACTGTAAGAGTAGATGCAGCTTCGAGTGGACGGACGGAGAAAGTGGCAATAATAGCGCCTTCCAACATGTATTGGAAAATGCCCTAGAACTGCCCTCTGCCATATTCGCTATGCGCACCACTTTTTTGTAAGACGAACATTTGGTGCAATATGTATAGGTTATTTCAACGATGAAGTGCGCATAATTTTTTTTTAAAGTCACACGAAGAAACTGTCCGCAATTGCAGTTCCAAATATAACATTTTGTGGGGACCAGGCTTTTCACACGCCCGTTTAAGGGTGCATCTTTGGAAATACAAAATTAGAAATAATACATTCAAAATCCCAGATAGTCTTACTTGTTGTGTTCATAAGAAGAAAATGTAACTAAAAACGCAAATTTGGTACCGTTCGGGGGTGTAGCTCGCCCAAGACATAGATTAAAAAATCTATGTCCAAAGCGACACATTTTATCTGCGTCGTGCAAGTACTGGTTGCAATTTTAAAAATGTCCCTCTTTTTTAATTAAAAACTTGTTTCCAGCCCCACCCCCATTAACCACCCTTAATCAAGTTCTTAGGGGATTGACATTTTATCTGTGGCATTATTAAGAGGTAAAAAACATAAGTGTTTTATGAGATCCGATTATCGCTATTGTGGTACATATCAGAGCCCCACTCTAGCCTCAATATTAGACCAAAAAATCCGATACAACTGAATACCGAACGATTCTTGAGATCTTCGCACATGCATCTCTTTTACAAGGCAGGGATTGATTCTGTTCCACCAGATCAGCATAGCTTGTAAAACAAATTTTTGAATTAGCATTACTTTTACTTTTATACCACTTACGAGGTGGGAGGTGCATATACATACAAAATTTCATTTAAATATAACAAATAAAAAAATTGGGATTGCTCAAATACAAAAGTTGGGTTGCACATGCGCAATTTTTTAAAAATTCATCTACTACCACAGAAAACCGGATATTCATATGTTCTTTGTAACAAGAATTATAACAGAACCCTTTTTTGTAGGTTTGGGCAGTTTTTGGGTTGTAACTTTTTGGCCCGTTAGTCTACATAGCCGAAAAACAATAGGGACCTTTCTTATATCCTGAAGAACATGTGTGTCTATTTTCAAAGCGATCGGACGTTTCTACACAAAGTTATCGTGCACAGGGACAGACAGACGGACAGCAATACAAAATTATAAACGATCGCGAGGGTCGTTAATAATAAAATATTTCTATAAAACCCAAGGACCTTGATAAAACCAGCACATTAAAAGTTGACCAATATATTATGTATATATAATATAACTATAAGTATTGACATTGATTATACACACTATAAATCAAGTGTATTGATAAGAATCCCAAAATAGATCATAATTCAAACACAAAGCCAGTTCAGGTGATGTATTGTATACCTGAAAATTTGACAGAGCAAGAATAGGTCTGTGGAATAAATTACAATCCTGTTTGTAGCATAATGTAGGACGTATCTAATTACGATAACAAACAAAACACCACCTTTATCTCTAAGAACAAGGTCAGTCTTTGGCGATAATATCCATGTGATAAATTGATGTAAGTATATTACAGGTTGCTATTCTTCGTTAATAGGTCACTGCGTTACCTAAACGTCCACACTGTATACAGACTTTAGCTACACGCTAACAGCGCCATCTTACACGAAATCCACAAATTAAATTACAGGAAAAACATGTGGAATTTGATGGCGGTAACTCACATTTTAGCGATCAGGCACTAAAATGTACAAAACTTGAAAAATAAGTAAGTTTCATCCGAAACCAAAATACTACATCATTCTTCAGGGTACTACTTGTGACAAGACACTAATAGTTTGCTACACTATTTGATATTTATTTAGTGGTGTACTTTTAAAGATTACGTAATATTTTTTTTTCTTTTGTATTAATGCGAAATATGTATCTCATCACGTAGTTGTCTCAGATGAAGGTGTTACGAATTATCTTTTACGAAAAAAGTAAAAATATTTTGAAATTTGTACATTTGAAATTTGAATTTATATTAACCTCACATTTTGGTGTTAATCCCCCCTTAATCCAGTGAATCCAACCATTGGATGGTGCGCCATCTCTCCTTGGTAAGTTAAGTCACGTGTCGGGTGTCGGGCAATTTTTGGCTGACAGATGACAGGTGTAATTTATTTGTTTATTATTAAACGGTCATAATTAAAGACGAAAAATTAAAATTATAACGAAAATGGCAAGCAACGAATCTTCCACAGGCAATTCTGAATCAGATTTACAAACTCTTGCCTCAATGTTTCAAGAAGGTTTAGATTTGTATAACAATTTAGGAAAAATTGATGAGCCTACAAATAGCCCTTTGGTGCAGGTAAGGGTTTTATTTCTTTAAGCTTATTTATTTAATTTTTACATTTCTTACAGTCCAATATTAAAAAAGCTATACATATATTTGAAAATGCAACTCGCCTTGTATCACTGGCTGGAATGTTTAGTTCAAACGAAAGTGTCGATGAAATAGCCACAGAAGATTTACAATACATGTTATTACCCGCTCTTTTAGGGGCATTATGTTTGAAACTCACTTCTAGAGATCGAAATGATATCACCCAAGTTTCCGAAGTGTATTACAAAGACTTTCTTCAGAGGTGCAGTGACTATGGATTACACGAGTTGAAACAAGACGAACCCGCCATGAAAAATTTAAGTTTGTGTGATTCTAAAGTGCCAGATGCAGATACGATTAAAACTTTTGTGATTACAAGGGCACAGAAAATCCAGAGATTTAAAGAACAAAAGGAATTGAAGTCTAAATTGGAAGATTTGAAAAAAAATTTGGCAAATGCGGATGAAGATTCGAAACGCGAATATTTTCTTACCATGATCAAATTGTTTATATTCGAAGCAGTCGATGAGTTAAGCTGTATAGAAGCCGAGAAGCAAATCTTAGAGATCCGTGCTAATATGGTTAAAGAGGATCAGCCGAAACCTAAAAGACCACCACCTCCTCCACTAAAGCCGGTGATTATCACTCGTGACAGTGTGCAGAAAGCGGTTTTCGGAGCAGGTTATCCTTCATTACCCGTGATGTCGGTGCAGGAATTTTACGAAAAGCGTGTCGCCGATGGAATATTTCCTGATCCTAGTGTAGCTAGCGAAAAACCTTTCTGCCTTCAAAACGCCACCCCTGACGATATTGCACTGAGAGATGAACACGAGGCAGCGGAAGCCGAAAAGAAAGTTGAGCAAGATGACGAGGATGAGCTTGCACGGCTGCGACGGAGAGACGAATTTAAGGATGAACACCGTCGGGGATGGGGTAACCGTATGAATCGTAGTTAAATGTTCTGCGACAGAGACAGATTAATAGATAAATTTAAAAGGTACCTGTACGAAGCTGTATGTATTGTGTACGTTTTCCTACATGGGGTGTAATATTTTGCATGGTCGGTGACACTCTAATAACTGTGTGTACATCTTTATAAGAAAGGGTCTGTAAATTCAAAACTGTTTACAATGTTAAGATTAGGTGTTAGTTCATTTTGAATTTTCCTGATCGTTTATTATGTAAAAGTAGCAAAAGGAAAGATCATTTAGAATGCATGTTGACTCTTGTAGTTTATTCTCTCCAACATAACCTGCAGACAATCCTTTGGAAATACTTTGAATTTTCCTGATGTAAGAAAGCCAGAGGGGGAGGGGGAATTTATCCTAAATCTTACTAAGACGTTTATTTTGTGTTAGAGGGGGAATTATAAAACATTATTTTTTTGACTGCTAAACAATATTTATATACAATTAAATAATAATTCTTATTTTACCTGGTGGCAGGAAAACTTGCTTGTGTTGGGTTTCATACTGGAGTATGAGAGGCATATCTAACAAACGCGTGTGCAAACTTAATTTGCAAAACTGAAAAATATACCATTTCATAAAGACAAGTCGATCCGTTATATTAAACATAAAAAAGATGCGCAGAAGTAGATTTCTTATTTGCGAATTGATCTTTCTGAAATCTTGACAGTAGCACTTTTTAATACATACAAAAATCCATTGATTATATTAAACATTTGAAAAACTGCGCAAGTATGCTCAGAAATAAATTTCGGTTTAAGACTCTGACTCTAATCTCACAGGTGGTGAGTTCAAATCCCACAACTTGCCAGTTTTTAGTGGTACAGACTACTGACTACCACGTTTCGGAGGGCATGTAAAGGTGGCAGTCGTACAAGGACCGCCCACAATGCCATAATCGTGCGAGAATACAGATCGGACAAATTGAAACTGGAAAAATTGGTCCGATAGGCATTCTAGCACGATTTGAAGCACTGTGCGCTGGTGAACCATCCTGTTGAGACCAACACTCTCTTTTTTGTGTACCATCCATTGTATTCGTAATAAAAACGCTACTCAAAACACTTTTTTACTTCTTTTTACGTGCCATATAAAAAAATAAAGTTGATGAGGTTCTCCGTTGTATTGAAAATCTCTCAACACTGTCTTGTAGAGCTCAAAAAGAGGCAATGAGAAAGTGTTTTGTTTAAATTTTTTTGTATCTGTTCAATAACATCAGAATAGATTTTTACATAAAAGTCAGGAAAATAACACATTACTGGTGAGGAAATATTGAAGTGCGAGGCCCTTTCCGAGTCAAGTAATGTCATTTTACTGACGAGTTTTGTATATAAAACCTTTGATTAATGTCAATCTGTCAGCGATGACAGGAGTCATTGTAGACATTAGAAATGTCACAAATTCGGCCGGGAAAGTGACGGTGCGGCCGGTAAAGTGACAGGTGCGGTCGGTAAAGTGACAAGCGGCAGGAAACGTAGTCTGCTCTGTCTCTGTCATGGAAGCTCAAATTTCCTGACAGAAAGTAGGCACAAACATGAAGGTTTCAAGACGATTTTGGGTTAAAAAAAACAAAATCGGAAAATTTCGGTTTTTTTTTGGCATATCTTCGGAAGAAATCGGAATTTTCCGTTTTTCTTTGCAGAATGATTTAATTGCGCTCAATAATATGACTTATGACAGGGCCACCGCCAGAAAAAATGTAGAGAGGGTCAAAAACTTTAAGTCAATTCACTATTCTAGAAATGAAATAAATTTTTAAAAAAACGTAAAATTTTCCATTACATCCCATACGATATTGTAAAATTTAAACATTTTGCCGAATTTGTTTTATCTGAAGTTATAAATCCAGGGCCAGAGGAGGTTGGCGGACACTCCCTGGCCCCCCCTTGCCGGCGGGCCTGACTTATGAGATCACATTTGATCCGAAAATCGCGAATACTCGTTAATGTCATTGTTTAAATACTCAATGGTAACGTGTTCTTCAATATTGACTGCAAACAATATAAAGTTCCAGAGATCAACAATACCCAATAGACTTCCAGATCTACATGAAGACAACCTACCAAATTTCAACCCGAAAGCATTGCGACCTGCGTTACACGCATTTAAACAGACTAGATGACGCCTCGAGAATATTCTAGGACTAAAATTTTATGTTCATTTTAGTGCCGTTTAACTGTGAACGTGCATGTATGCAACCGTGGATCACATCACGCTAAATCAAAGATTCTCTGCTTTAGCCACCTGCTGTAGGGCATTGGACCAACTCAAGGTGGATCTTGGACCTACTTATTGATTTATTTATAGCAAAGATGACACTTATCTTTATTTATCAGTTTTTATATTTTTCGTTTGGAATTTTGGTTTTCAAAGCTTTACGTGATTTTTTCAACTAATTTTCACAGCATGGGTAAAATAAATCGTTCAACGAAACCCATAAAGATGTGGATCGATGGAACTGCCTTTAGTATACCTAAGTTTGAAACAAGAACAGCCTTTAATCGTAATTTGCCAACCAATTCAGGTATATTATACATTAATTATACTGCCTTCCAAACATTAAGAATAGCTTGCTTAAATGTTTCTGTTCTGCATAGATTCTGTTGTAACAGATTTGAACCTACAGCAAGAGCATAACTTCATTTTAACAGAGATGGATAACCGTTTCACTACAAGTTTTTGCTTACCACCGTAAGTAAATGTTACAATGAGCATGGTATTAACGAAAGAGAGTTTATAGTGTTTATTATGTTGGTTTAAACAATTTCCCTTACTTAAGCCGAAGGAAAATAGAGGTAGATACACGCACCGTTATTCGCACACCACAAAGGGATGACGGCAGTATGACTATAAGCGGAGACTGTGCTGATGATGTGGTGAATGCTCGACGGACAGTACAAAGCATTGTTGCCGAAATACGTAATAAACAACCTGCTGCTCAATTTATATCGATTCCTGTAAATAGTGAAGAAGTACAAAGAAACTTTCAGCAATTTAAAGTAGAGATTATGATGATTAACTGAATATTTACACGCAGTGTTTAGGATGCAATACTGAGTGCTGGTCCTATAGAAGGTGTGGAGGACAGTGTTTTCCAATCGCCACTCAAATTACATTTAACAATTTGTGTGTTTGTTTTATTAAGTCCGTCAGAGAAAGAGGAGGCTGTCAAGGCCTTAAATGATTGCAAAACTGAAGTTTTAGAGTGAGATATTTATTTTATTCATTTATCTTTAATGGCTTGTCTCTTTATAGCACTTTCTTAAGCAGTGAAACTCCCTTAAAAGTACACGTGGCTGGAATTGATTGCATGAATGACAATCACTCGAAAGTGAACGTGTTATATGCAAATGCAAAGATTGTGCAAGATAACAATGAAGAAGTCCTGCAAAAGCTGGCTAATGCTATTTCTGATTACTTCTACAATCGTGGTAAATATGTGTAGAAATAAAACTCGCTTTAAGGGCCTGTTTTTCATGTTACTGTTAAATGTATCTGACTAATTTCTAATAGTCTAATAGGGTCCTATTACGACCTCTAAAAATGAGCCTGGAGTTTGTCTGTGGGGGAACAATAGGCGTCTAAATAGATTAGTGCCAGTGACATGTGTTTGGAGCCAGTGCCCCTGCGACAATTGCGCGAATAGCAAAAAAGCGAGACTGTTATTATCATAATTATTTAAAACAGCTAATAATTTCGCCTATTTGTAGGGCTACTGATCCAATATACTGACAATGTTAGATTACACGTAACACTTATGAATACCAAGTACAGAAGTAAATCTGCACAAAACACACCAAAAAGGTCGAGATGGCCCACAAAACGGATACCATTTAATGCTACCAGCATTATTGAGAAATATAAAGATTTTTATTTTGGAGAAAAAGTTTTGGATTCCATTCACCTTTCGTGCATGTCATCTAAGGGAGAAGATGGATTTTACGCCCCACTGTCTGTAATTAGATTTTAAGATGTGTATTTTGTGAAGTTATATGTGGGTAGTTTGATAGTTTTTGTTATTATATTTTTATATGGGCAATAAACTATAACCAAAGAGTAATTATTATATATTCTTTGCTATAACATGCTTGTTTTAGTGGCAGTTTTATTTACATCAGTTACATAAAGAATGACGTGCACATATGAGAAACAATTTTAATAGGTACTTATATTTCATATGGGTTCCAACCCCTGGTTTAAGGTTCCGTATTCAGAACCTTGGATAACTTATGGGCTGGAGAAGGTCCGGCTAATTAACAATTATGTATTTCATGTACTTTATGTAAGACATCAGAATATTTTTCAGAAATGGGAAAGGAGTGGAGTTACTTTTAAATCTATTTGAGTTGCCCATTTTAAATTAAATTTACTAGAAATATTCTATGCTCGTAGCCAGCAAAGATCAAATGTTTTATTTACAACATACTTAAATATTACAAAGACAAAACTGATCACTAGAATTGCTACAAGCAACTATTAAATAAAAAACAATATAATCGAATACATAACAAAATCCGTCATTTTAATTTACATAGTATATTGAACTATTAATCTTCACAAACTGTAATAAAACATTGTTCAATTCCCTAATTAGACATCTTTTGTTGGTTTTGTTGATGGAATTTTTCCATTCTCATCTCTAGCTCGGGCCTAAAATGTCTTATAAGTCCTTGAACTGGCCACGCAGCTCCATCGCCCAAGGCGCATATAGTGTGTCCTTCTATTTGTTTACTAAGTTCCCATAACATGTCAATTTCATCTGGTCTTGCATTCCCATCAACAAATCTGTACATCATTTTATTCATCCAACTAATTCCTAAAAACTTCATTTAAGTTTCTGCAACACAAATCTGGCCTTTACCTTCACGGCACGGTGTGCATTGCCCACATGATTCGTGCTTATAAAACATAATCAACCTAGCAATCGCCTTTACAATATCTGTCTGTTTGTTCATGACAATGATAGCTGCCGTTCCCAAACTTGTTTGACATGCAACGAGCCCATCGAAATCCATTATGGCATCGTCGCAAACACTACAATGCAATTATTTTGACGAGTGCCAAATGAAATTATCTTCACCTTTTGGGGATAAGCGGTGTTGAGGAACCACCAGGAATTATCGCTAGCAAATTGTCCCATCCGCCAGTAACACCACCGGCATGTTTTTCGATTAGTTCTCGAAGAGGTATACTCATTTCCTCCTCGACCGTACAGGGATTCACTATATGACCCGAGATGTTGAATAGTTTCGTAC